AAAGCTAAGTCAACACAGCTACTGATTTCTTGTGCAATGAGCCACATTCTCATTCTCTACGATACCGTCAGGGAATTAGGGAGAGTATTGTTCCAGGGTTACACAATGGATAAAACTTTCCAAGGCAAACAGAAGTAAAAAATAAAATGAAAAAAGAGGAGGCCCTTTGATTCCAAAAGCAGTTCAGAGAGAATCTGGAAAATGAGAATCTGAAATCACTCCAGCTGCCGAAGTATGATTTGTCTAAGCGCAAAGCCTCCTGCTATTTTTTGCTCATGAGCACAAGGCTACACCAGGACTAATGGCTGCAGGTAAGAAAGTTTGTAAACCAAACAGAGCAGAGATTACCCAACCATTAATTCCACACCAGGACAGAAAGCAGCTCAGGCTTTGCACAACTGCAAAGCCACAACCACCAAATAGCCCCAAAACAAATCAGTTGTAACAGCCAATTTGCTTTGCTCTCTGCAGTAAATACCTGGTTCCAGCAGCTTGGGGGAGTGCTCATTTTGAATTTTTCAGTGTTCTAATGGCAGACAAAAAAGTTACAAGGAATGTATGAGTAGCAGACAATATCTGCTCTATAATTTATAGGCACAATACTTTATTTCATAGCATTTCTTTCCACACAGCTAGCTGATGAAATTTAACAAGCCAGCTTTCACATAAACTTCTAGGAACATTCACTTCATGTAGTCCCTTATTGTATAAAATCTTTGAATTTTTAAAGGCTCAAACAAAATATTTGAGCAGTCCTATCCTCCCAGTTTCAAAGAGTAGCAATGCCTGCCAGCTTGAGAAGCATCACATGCCTTGATTTACACAAACTGTAAGAACTGCTCATTTGCAAGGCTATGGTATAGTTTTGATTACAGCCCTATTATTATTATTATTATTAAAACAGTCATGACAGAAAAGGTAATCAAGAGGGCCAAGAGTTTAAAGCAGAGCCTTTCTTCACCCAAAAAGCCAGAGTATCAGACTGCCTGAACACTTATTTCTGCATTAAGAAAACATTAAAGTTGTCTGTCATTTCTAGCCCACAATATCCAGGCCAGCAGAGAATTCCAGGTTTTTAGGAAAGGCTGACTTTAAAGGCTGCAGGTGTTCCAGAAGGTGGTCTGTACTGGGGAAAATTCCAGGCTTCCCTAAGCTGCTCTGGAAGAGCTGAGGGGAAGCCAGATGAAAGGAGAGAGAGGGGAAGTACTCCATAGTCATAGATCTCAGCTTGATCTTGCGCTAGAAAGACAACTAAGCACATAAAATGCACAAAAACATCCAAGGCAAAAAAAATTAGCATTTCCAGGCTGGGCTTTTCAAAGTAATTGAGGATTCAGGCAGTCTTTTCACAGTACCTGTGCACCTAAGGCACCTATGCAGCTCTGGGAAAACCTCCCCAGCCTCCTGGCTTTCTGCTGCACAGTAAGACAAGTTCCTCTGTGCCCCAGTGTCCCAGCCTGAGCTCCAAGGACACATCTGTTCCCAAACAATTGAGCTATCAACGACACACAGACAGCAGAGCAGCAAGACCTTCTGCTCAAGGACTCTCTCTGCATTTGTAGATCTCCTGGTGTCAGCCTCTCACAAAGCCCCTGTCAGAGCCAGCTTCAATCCTGTCATCACAGTCTCCCTCCTTGCAGGAGCTTCCACTCAAGAGCAACTCAGGAGCCCCATTAAGGCAAAGTCCCCAGCAAGAGCTTCTTATCAGTGTCTGCTGTGATTGTGTCTGTGTGACTTCACAGCTGTGCTCTAGGTCAACTCATCTTGCTCTGCTGCAGCACCACTAATTCACTGAGCCATCAGCTTTGCAGAACAGCAGCCCCACTACTTCTTGTCTTTGAGAGACCTAAAAAAAGGGGTGGGGGGGCTGAAAACTGCTTCAGTACTCTATGGAAGTCTCTGCTGTAGGGGAAGACTGTGTTCCAACAGTACCCTCTGAGCTGGACCCACAAGGTAAGTATCTACCTGCTGGCAGGTACACAGCTTTCAAGAAGACAGCATGATGTAACATATTTTAAAGTGTCATATGCTGTGGTCTCTGCCTCTCAGGGAAATCTGGATCCTACTCTCTTCTCTGCTAACCAGAGTGATGGCAGGGAGAGCTGCACAAGGTTTATCTAATCTCTGATGACAGACTCCAGATCTTTTTTCCATACAGCACTCGTACAAGCAAACCTTATTCCGCCAGAACATTAAAAGTCACTTCAATGGCACTCTGAACTGGATGGGAGCCTAGAGATTTCATTAGCCTCTCCCTCCCTGCCACAAACAAAGCAGAAACTTCCAGCACATGTTAATTGTACCTGCATGAGCTCGGAGTGCTCTGCCAGAGCCTTGCGCTGCGCCTCCAGCGATGCCACCTGCTGCTGGTACTGCAGGCGCTGCTTCTCCCAGTCAAGTGATTTCTGCCGGAACTCCTGCAAGGACAGCAGGGGTGGCTTGGAGCAGTACATCCCCCTCCAGTTCACATCCATGTTTGCCTTCTCTCCCCACCATATCCTCACACCCTTGCCCCAGCAGGGAAACCATTAGCCAGTCACCTGATGCAGCAGCTCAGCAGTGCAGAGCCCTCACACACCGGGCTCGCTGCACTCCTTCCCCACCCGAGGTAAAGATCACAAACGTTAAGTGCCAAAACATTCTTGGCTGATTTCATGGCTTTGCTGTCAGGGGTTTAACAATTCAGACTGGCTTTAGCTTCCAAAACATGCTGCTATTGAAATCACCAAGATGACAAGAATTAAACACAGAATTTGACTGCTAATCTCCGCTCCAGAAATTGGGCACTACATCAGTCAGATGTGTGTTGTTACCACATCTCTCAGGAGGAGAAAACTGAGTGGGGTTGAGCTCAGCAGAGCAGAAAGATTAGAAGATGAGACAGGGTTGAGAAGAAGTTTGACATGTAGCTCCCTCCTCCTCAAAGAAGTGAGAATACAACCTCCCCACACTGGGATTCATTCCATTCACATAATTAGTTACTCTTCCAGTACCTCCTTCTTTTTATTTAGTCCAAGGGTAAGAACAGCATTAAGGTTTATGCAGTGCAGTCAGAGACCCCAGCACATGAAACTGCCTTTATCACACATGCAGTTGAGAAGAGCTGCACCTGGAGAGTGGATGGGCAGTGCTCCTTAAGCAGGACTCACAGTCCACTTCCTAGTGGACTGTGCAGTCACCAGTGAAGCCAGTAAGGCAGTTAATACATACCAGCTGGTCAGCACTTGCTTTTTCACCACATACCTCCAGCTTCCTGGTCAGTCGGCTCAATTCAAACTTGTCCTCCTCTTGTCCTTTGTTAGCTTCTCCTCTGCTCCTTGTTTTTTTCTTCTGCAGCTTCTCATAGCTCCTCCTCAGCCGGGACAACTGCAGGACACAGTGAAAGAGACAGCTTTGCTCAAGGCCCCAAGGCAAGAATTAAACAGCCCTTTGAAAGTGGTTCACACAAACAATGCCCTCATCAAGGCCACACAGCTCCCAAGTGAAGGCTTCTATTTGGATAATGAGTCTTTTATTCCAACAGCACAGCAAAACACATGAGTTGTATGAGAGTAGCAAGATGCCACTGAAGTCATGACATCAGCAGCTTTAACTAAAGCTCTGTCTTACCATAATTAAAGCATGACTGAAATATTGATCAGATGGAGGTTCACAGGCAGCTGTCAATGCAGCAAGAACTCAGCATCCCCCTCTCTACAGGTGGTTCCCAGCCCCAGGAAGAGCCAGCAGCACCTGTGGCTGATCTGCTCACCCACAGGAGCACACCCACCACACCACACACGGGTAAATCTTGTGTGATCAAAACACATTTGTGCAGCTCAGGTGGGAACTGGAACTCTCCTGCTTAGTGGGAGAAGGAAGGTTTGAGAATTGCCATTACCCATAATATCAACACCACTTCATCTGTCATTTTCTGCTTAGATACACTGTGTATTTTACAATGAGTGGAGAATGCCAACAGAAAATATCACTCCTACGCCTGCTGCTAGGATGCTGAAGTTGTATCAGAAGCAGGAATGAGGAAAAAACTCTTGACATTTAAATGACCCTCTGTGCAAATAATCACTTGCAACTTGCAGAGAATTTTTCATATGATGAGCTCCTCCCTACTTAAATTATTAAATTATTAAATAAAAGGCTTCCAAATAGCCACATGAATTTGAAAAGTCATCACTGCTGTTTCACTGATGGACAAAGCTAAGCCCATGGATGAACAAAAGGACCATGAGAAGAAAAAATATCTGATTCAAGACCTGATGCATTCAATAGTTTGGTGTGTTCAGTGGGAACAGACAGATGTTCAGGCTTAGAGTTAATACCAACATCTTTTGCCAAACATATCAGGAGATAAGAGGTTTATTCCTTCAACAGTCTCAGTAAGTTAGACACTGTACCTGTAATTGCACTGGAAATGGTGGTAAACAGAGACAGAAATAATTTCCCCAAACAGTACTAAGAACAGAAGACTGAGGAATATTGGAGCTCAATGTCATCAGCATTAATACTGTGTAGGTAAAATACCCACAAAATGCAATTTAGGCCAAAACACACAGGCTGTATTTCAGCCACAGCAATTTAGGCTGATCTGCCAATGTACCTCAGCTTTGCTCTGCAGCTTATCCACAATTCCAGTGAGAACAGCCAGCGAATGAAGCCTGTTAGTCATATGGAATAGTGAGGTGTTTTTAAATGAGAAAAGATGCCTTCTGTCATCAGAGCAGAGACTACCAAATTAATTTCACTTATGGCTTACAGTGAGCAGGAACTAGGCCCAGCCCTCCAGAGAAAACAGGTCAGTGCTCTATGAGCTGCTCATGCCAGTTCACTCCCTGCTACTGGCAAGTGCAGACAGGCAAGGAGTTCAGGCATAAATCTGGAATGCTGTTGTACCACCTGCAGGACAGGTATCACCTTGCACTGAGCAAGAGGCTTTGAGATGGAAGCTCTGATATTACTGTCAAACAGCATTTTCTACATACACTTGGTTTTTATAAAAGGAATTAAGACTAATATTCCTTGAGAGTACAAAATCCCTGCTAAAGTCATCAGTGTTAACAAAGGCAAAAAGATGAGACCACACACCACCGTTATTTCCTGATCTCACACAAGCCAGGCCAGTTACATCCTCACCCTTTTTGAATTTCAGAAATGCTGAAAGAGCAAACGGCTGCTGCCTGTACCTGTGGCAGCTCCAGAACCAGCACTGTGGTGACTGGGGTGGGCAAACAAAGGACATTCTTGCAGTGAACTTCTGCAGATGTCCAACATATAAAAACATTTCTGCTCCAACAGTTCTCTGTCTGTCACCAAGTTCCTCCAAATCGCAAAAAACATGCCAATTGAGCCATACAAATGTCACTTGATCTATGCTCAATGCTCTTTTGGCTAAGCACACAAACACTAACAGAGTGGGCAGTTTTAAAACTACAGCATGGAAACAAAAACAATGACACAGTAATTGATCCATCATCAACTGGAAACTAGAAACCAAACTTCTCTTTTTGCAACTCACCTCCTCCTGGAACTTCTTCAGCTGTTGTTCATACTCTCTAACCATGTCCTGCTTGGATTTTTCCACATCCTCAACCTGGCGGCGCAGCATGCCAACCTGAACAAAGGGATAAAAAGCAAATAAATACAACAGAAATAGGCTTTGTTGCCAGTAGATACATGGATATTTCAGTGGGACCCTTCATTATGAAATAGATGGAGGCTGTGCCTAAATCTTTGGCAGGCTGGGGCCACAACTGTTTCTGTTGTGGTCTCTTGTTTTGAGCCAGTTTCTGGATTTCACTCCTGGGGACAAAGCTGACGTATTTGGCTTGTGCCTACTTCTATCCAGTATTTTAATGAACTAATCACAAATATGCATTATGATTTCAAGCTATCTATCAAGAGAAAAGCTGACCATATCATCCTCTTACTATGCTCAGAGAAAGGAGAGAATTCTAATAGCAAGAAAAAAGTAAGAAAAGGGGTTTTGCAGCTCATAGGAAAGACTTCCCTGACACTGATTCAACTGCTCCCGACACTCATTCTTCTCCCTTTTTTTTCCTCCCAACCACAACCTGCGTGGTCACAAGCCAACAAATTAAAATTAAAAGAAAACCCAAAGAAAATTCATATGACTAAACCAAAAGCATGAATATACTCCAGCAGTGATTTCAAACATACTTTACAGTTCAGTTTGAAATCCATGTTTGCTTTTGTTGGTAAGAGACATTTCAAGTGTCTTGAGAAAACAAAATTGATAATAACAACAATAACCTATATGATAAAAATCATCATTCTTGCAAATTAAATTCTGTGGCTCACCTGCACCTTATGGTCCACATCCTGCACAAAAACTTCACTTACTAATAATTTTCCACCAATACAGATTTTTTTTTTTGCACTTCCCTCAGGCTTTCATTTAAAGATCACAAAACCAGAGCTCTGTAAAAAAGCCCATGGAGAGTTTCCCAGCAATATCTTGGTGTAGTTCATAGTAGGAAATGGTTTTCTTGGTGTAGTTTATATAGTAGGAAATGGGTTTTGTCTACCAATGACTGCAGGTTGCTGGGCCGTCCATTACAGCTGTAGCCAGAAAAAGTGCCCCTGGGCTCTCTCTAATAACTCTAACAGTTCAATATGTGGACTTCCACCAATCCTAGGGGAGTGGATCACTTGCCTTGGATTGAGTTATGAACCAGACACCTTGTTCCAACAGGTCCTTTAAAAATTCTATTCCTGATTTCCTGATTCTAACAGGTAAAACACACTGCTGACTCCAACCAAAAAATAGTAATGAAACCAAGGTACCTCCTTTTGTTTTTCCTGCAAAGCTGCCTTGGCAGAGGCAAGTTCCTGCTCCCGAGCACTCAGACAAGCTTCCAAAGCTTGGGTCTGCTCTTCCCATTCGGATTTCTTGTGAGCCACCATGATGTCGATCTGCTTCATCAGCTCCTGCAGCTCGGCCTCACAGGAGGTCAGGAACCCACCACTGGAGGAGAGACAGCCTGGAGTTAAAACAGGTCCCACCCAACATGTCCAGTGTCCCAAACCAACCAAGGCAGCAGAACTGACTGGCACCAAGGCACCAACTCTGCACACACAGTGCTTTGAACTATCTTCAAATGAGCTCACACAGAAGAGAATCAGTGAATCATTAAGGCCAGAAAAGACCTTCAAGATCATCAAGTCCAACATTTTACCCAATACCATCCATTCTCACTAAACCACATCACTTCACACTTGGGCATTCAGCCTTTTGCCTTGGGTACTAGACATCATGTAAGTAAACCAAAGTGTGTTTAATTCATATTTTGTATTGCCTTAACTGCTCTCCAGGCAGTGGCATTTTATAGCAGGTTTCAGTCACCAGAGGAATCTTACAGCCAAACTATGAGCTCCCAAAGACAGAAGTTTATCACAAATGCAGACAAACCCTGTAGCAGAGGGGGCTGGATGACAACATGATAATGAAGAATCAAACCCTCACAATCCATTGGGGAGCACAAGCTCCCTAGCGATGCCCAGATTTCTAATTTGGTGCAGTAATTATTGAAGCCAATTCAAGTAACTCCTCTAAAACTTCCCAGCTGCCAAGACAGGGACAATATTAAGGTTTGCCAGACATAGCCCTAGAGGGTGGTGAACTCCATAATGATCTCTACCCCTTTAATTTGCCTGTCAGAGGGAAGAACTGAAAAGAAATGGAAATCAATAGGTTAAGGGATAGAAATTTCTCTGTTCCCCCAGGGCATATGCACACTTCATTACTTGGCACTTTTTCTATAGGAAAAGAAATACTTCTTAAAGGAGCCAAAATCAGTCACATTTGAAGTTCACCCTGTCCTGTGAGTTAACCAAAAATTAGCAGCTATTATGCAGAGCAGGAACATTTCCTTCACAGCATCTGCTAATATGTAGCAAATTCTAAATTCGATTTCTGCAACCAGCTCTCTACAGAAGATACAGTATCAAATAAATTTGTGTCACATTCTCAAGAATGACTAGGAAAATGGCACCAGTGACTTTTGCTTCACGGTTGTTTAACACATAAAGCATTTTGTTCTGTTATTGTCACTACAGTCTCTCTCGGGGATTGAAAAGTCTAGAGACTCTCACCTCAGACAGAGCATTATGGATTCACTCAGAGCTGAGTGGGACTCTGCAGTTTCAACACAAGCAGGAAATAATCAGATGTTTTCAGTGAAATCAGATAACAAAGTCACATCTCATTAACCTTGCAAGGCTGTTACAAAATAAATATTTATTCTCAACTCTATTTACTGCTGCTCCTGATGTTGGACAGTAAGAATAGTTTACATCAACAACTGAGAAAAAAGAGGCTGAGGTTTCAGGAAGATGTACAATTAAATTTCTGACAATTAAGACTATAAGCAGGGATTAGTGCAGAGCCAGCTGCCCCAGTGACTTCACTTCTGCAGCAGCTGAAGGCCACTGCACACTTACACCAGAGGATTTATTCTGAGTAAAAGGCAAGGTTAATACCTAAATCATGTGGAATGACTGCTGTGTACAGTTGCATACATACCTTCCCCGCCCACCTCTTTGCATTCCTTCCAGCAAAGTCTCCATCATGAATCCTGGTGGCTTCAGTACTAGGCAAGTACAGGAAAGCAGTGGTCACCCATGGCAATGCACAAACCAGGCTGCTTCTCCATCCAGCTGCAGGAAAAGTGGAAGCACACAAAGCAGAGAAGTCAAAAAACATACAAGGAGCATGCAATTACAGGAGAGGAAAACAATGGCACCTTCATGAACTTACAGCCAAATAGAGGAAAACAGATTTTTCTACCAAAAAAGTATAGTCAATGCTATCATCCAGCACTACCAAATTGCAGTGATATAACAGGTGATCCAGTAAATTCAGAGGAGCAATGAGAATCTGCACTTGTGTGAACTCAACACAGAGGGACTGGTAGATCTCCTGGAAGAACCAGCCTGTGGAGAAATAGGAACATTCAGGCTCCAAAGGGGCCAGACGGAGATCCACCTCTGTCAGGGAAGTTTGTCACTTCAGAGAGAAAACACCAGAGAGTAGCAGTAAGAATTCATCCATAAATTACATATTTTCCAGGCCTCTGTTACAGACTAGGTTAAAGAGACCATGCAGGTTACCAGCAGCCTAAGAACACACTGGTTGTTCATATGGTTGTGTTAAGAAAACACAAACTCCTTAAAATTTCCTCTTAAATTATGCCTTAAATTATGAAAATAAGTTGGACAGCTTTACAGTAGCCGTACATTGCTTCAGTTATAAATTACACCTTTTACACATGCATACTCAAATAAATTTCACATCTTGGTGAAAATGAGAACGGTTTACATTAAAATCAAAAATAGGGAATTAGAAGTTGCCATGAAGCAGGAATTTATTTCAATGCCTCCTTCATGAAACTGCATCTAACACAAAAATGGTTAAACTTGTCCAGAGCTATTAACACAAACTTCTGTTTCCAAAATCTACACACTTTCCAAGTACTGAAGATGGATCCTTCCACCATCTTTCCTCTAAGATAAATATGGCATTATTAAGCAATCAGCAAAAGGGGAGCAGGTCACAGCATGGGAGACTTTCACAAATGCAGGGTCAGCTTTGCTCTCTTTCCCAAAGAATCTTCTATCATGCTCCTACAGCACTTTAAAACACAATTCAGGGATTAAAACCTGTCCTTGGGAGCTGTGTTTTAAACCACAAGCATATAAAAAATGCACAGAAGAAAATCCTATCCCTATTCTGACAGTGTTTTGTCTGTCTTTGGTCCTGTTTGTGCTTAGCAAAACTCAATCAGTATGCAGAACAACCTCGTGGTTCTGCTGAGGGCAGGGTGCTGAGAAGAGCAGATGAGCAGATCCCCTGAGCTGCTGACAGCATTCCAAGAGCTCTCCAGGTGGCAACAGCAGACATTAGACAGTAGCAGTTCTCCTCTTTCATTCTAATCACACCTACACAGAATCAATTTTCAGTGGGCAGAGAGATGAGGAGACAACAGCATAGAATTCCAGAACAGTTTGGGCTGGAAGGGATCTTAAAGCCATGTCATGCCAAACCCCTGCCATGGGCAGGGGCACCTTTCACTAGCCCAGGTTGCTCCAAGCCCTGTCCCACCTGGCCTTGGACACTTCCATGGAAGGGACAGCTCTGTGCTTCTACCTTACAGCCTGCCAGCTTTGCTAACTTTGCTGGAATACCCAGATTTTGGGAAAAGCCTTAAATTCAGACACCTCTAGCCAGTTGTATGCTACATAAGGTTTGCTGACTTAGTATTAAATTTTGACCTCTCCTATTTGCAAGTTGCAATGTGCAAGTTACAGGCACCTGAGTAAAGACCCACAAGATGAAACAATCTCCTTCATTAACTAGAGCTGAAGCAAGAAGAGCTGGCTGGTCACTTCTGAAAGTGAAGAAAATTGAAGTATTTGAAAATAAAAAAAAAGAAAAGCCCAAAACAAGACAACACATTTAAAAATAAACAAGGTTTAACATCCCAGCTCAAGGCAGAATTGTAGCAGAGTTAAGTGGAGAGAACTTTACAATACGCAGGAGGACTTAAGAAGAGTGCCCATGAGACACGACTGGGATTAGTTCGTATTTAAAAACACAGAAAGATGCGATCTCCAAGCGCTGCTGGAAGCATGCTTCCAATGAACACAACAGGAGCAGAAACCTCCCACAGGCGATACCACAGGCTAGCTCCACTCGCCAGCGGCAGGAACGCCACCTGCGGCAGGAGCCCGGGGCGAACCGCCCCTCGCAGGGCGAGAATCCCAGAGTCACTGAGCTTGGAAAAGTGCTCTGAGACCATCAGGTCCAATCTGTGACCGATCCCCACTTTGTCACCCAGCCCAGCGCAATGAGTGCCGCGTCCAAGACCAGATCACCCTTCTGTGAAGGAATTCCTCCTGATGTCCAAGCCAAGCCTGCCCTGGGCAGCTTACGTCTGTGAAGGG